TGTGGTTTGGGGGCAGGGGGGTGGGGTTTTTGGTGGTAGGGTGTGGGGTTGTGGTGGTAGCAGGGTATTTGGGGGTTGTTGTGGTGGAGGGTGTGGAGTTGTGGTGGTGAGGGTAGGGGTTGTTGTGGTGGCGGGTATGGGGTTGTGGGGGTGGCAGGGTGTGGGGGTTTTGTTTGGAGGGTATGGGGTTGTGGTGGGAGGGTGGGGTGTGGTGGGGGCGGGTGTGGAGTTGTGGTTTGGGGGCAGGGTGTGGGGTTGTGGGGGCGGGTGTGGGGTTGTTTTGGTGGCGGGGATGGGGTTGTGGTGGGGGAGCGTGTGGGGTTGTGGTGGGTTGGGGGAGGGTGTGGGGTTGTGGTGGTGGGAGGGTGTGGGGGTTGGTGGTGGTGGCGGGGTTGGGTTGTGGGGGCAGGGTTTGGGGTTTTGGTGGCAGGGTGTGGGGGTTTTGGTGGCAGGGTTTGGGGTTGTGGTGGGAGGGTGTGGGGTTTTTTGGTTTGTGCAGGGGGTGGGGGGTTTTGGGGGGTGGGGCAGGGGGTGGGTTGTGGTGGGAGGGTGTGGGTTTTTTGGGGTTTGCAGGGTAGGGGGTTTTGGTGGGGGCAGGTGTGAGGGTTTTGGTGACCGGGGGGTTTGGGGTTTTTTGGTGGCAGGGTGTGGGGTTTGTTTTTGGCAGGGTGGAGGTTGTGGTGGTGGAGGGTGTTTGGGGGTTTGTGGTGGCAGGGTGTGGGGTTGGTTGGGGCGGGGGGGGGTTTTGGTGGGGAGGGTGTGGGGGTTGTGGTGGCAGGGTGGGGTTGTGGGAGGGTGTGGGGGTTTTGGTGGGGCGGGTGGGGGTTGTGGGGGGGGCAGGGGTTGGGGTTTTGTGGTGGGGGCAAGGTGTGGGGGGGTTTTGGGGGGTGGCCGGGTGTGGGGTTTGGTGGGGCAGTGTGTGGGGTTGTGGGGTGGCAGGGTGGGGGTTGTGGTGGTCACAGGTTGAGGTTGTGGTGGTTGGCGGGTGGGATTGTCGGGGGGGCAGGGTGTGGGGGTTGGGTGGGGGGGGCAGGGGTGTTTGGGGTTGTGGTGGGAGGGTGTGGGGTTGTGGTGGTGGGAGGGTGTGGGGTTGTGGTGGTGGGGAGGGTGTGGAGTTGTGGGGTGGCAGGTTGTGGAGTTGTGGTGGTGGCAGGGTGTGGGGGGTTTTGGGGGGGGGGGTGTGGGGTTGTGGTGGTGGAGGGTTTTTGGGGGTTTTGGTGGTGGCGCGTGTGGAGTTGGGGGTGGCGGGGGTGTGGGTTGTGGTGGTGGCAGGGGGTGGGGTTTTTGGTGGCAGGGTGTGGAGTTGTGGTGGAGGGTGTGGGGGTTTTGGTGGCAGGGTGTGGGGTTGTGGTGAGGGGTGGGGGTTTTGGTGGCAAAGGGGTGGGGTTTTGGTGGTAGCAGGGGGGTGGGGTTGTGGTGGTGGCGGGTGAGGTTGTGGTGGGAGGGGGGGGGGGTTGTGGTTTTCAGGGTGTGGGGTTGTGGTTGGGGGGCAGGGTGTGAGGTTGTGGTGACAGGGTGTGGGGTTTTTGGTGGGAGGGGGTGTGGGGTTGTGGTGGCAGGGTGTGAGGTTTTGGTGGTGGCGGGTGGGGGTTGTGGTGGGAGGGGGTGGGGGGGTGGTGGGGGCAGGGTGGGGGTTGTGGGGGAGGGTTTTGGGGGTTTTGGGGGTGGCAGGGTGTAGGGTTTGGTGGAGGGGTGGGGGTGGGGGGGCAGGGGGGGGGGTTTTTGGTGGTGGCAGGGTGGGGGGTTTTTTTGGTGGGGGAAGGTTTTGGGGGGTTTTGGTGGCAGGGTGTGGAGTTGTGGTGGGGCAGGTGTGGGGGGGTGGTGGCGCAAGGTGTGAGGTTTTGGTGGTGGCGGGTGTGGATTGTCGTGGTGGCAGGGGGTGGGGTTGTTTGGTGGTGGCAGGGGGTGGGGTTGTGGTGGGAGGGTTTTTGGGATTGTGGGGGCAGGGGGTGGTTGTGGTGGCAGGGTGTGGGTTGTGGTGGCGGGAGGGTGTGGGGTTGTGGTGGTGGCAGGGTGTGGGTTGTGTGGTGGAGGGTGTGGGGTTGTGGTGGTGGCAGGGTGTGGAGTTGGTGGCAGGGTGTGGGGTTGTGGTGGAGGGTGTGGGGTTGTGGTGGAGGGTGGGGTTGTTTTTGGCGGGTGGGGGTTGTGGTTGGGAGCAGGGTGTGGGGTGTGTGGTGGCAGGGTGTGAGGGGTGGTGGCAGGGTGTGGGGGTTTTGGGAAGGGTGTGGGGTTTGGTGGGGGCAGGGGGTGAGGTTGTGGTGACAGGGTTGGGGTTGTGGTGGCAGGGTGGGGGTTGTGGTGGCAGGGTGCGAGGTTGGGTGGTGGCAGGGGTGGGGTTGTGGTGGTGGGAGGGGGGTGGGGGTTTTGGGGGTGGCAGGGTGTGGGGGTTTGGTGGCAGGGTGTGGGGTTTGTGGTGGGAGGGGGGGTTTTGGGGGGCGGGTGTGGGGTTGTGGTGGGAGGGTGTGGGGTTGTGGTGGTGGCAAGGTGTGGGGGTTTTGGTGGTGGAGGGTGTGGGGTTGTGGTGGTGGCAGTGTGTGGGTTGTGGTGGTGGGGAGGATGTGGGGTTGTGGTGGTCGAAGGTTGGGTTGTGGTGGTGGCGGGTGTGGGGTTGTCGTGGGGGCAGGGGGTGGGGGTTTTGGTGGTGGCAGGGGTGGGGTTGTGGTGGCAGGGTGTGGGATTTGGTGGCAGGGTTGGGTTGTGGTGGCAGGGGTGTGGGGTTGTGGGGCGGCAGGGTGTGGATTGTGGGGGTGGCAGGGGTGTGGGTTTTTGGTGGGGGCGGGGTGGGGTTTTGGTGGGGCAGGGTGGGGGTTGTGGGGGGCAGGGTGTGGGGTTTGTGGGGGGTAAACGGTATGGGGTTTTGTGGTGGGGGGGTGTGGAGTTGTGGGGGGTGGCAGGGGATGGGGTTGTTGTGGTGGGGGAGGGTATGGGGTTGTGGTGGGCAGGGTGGGAGTTGTGGTGGTGGGAGGGTTTGGGGGTTTTGGGGGTGGCAGGGTGTGGAGTTTGGGGGTGGGAGGGTGTGGGGTTGTGGTGGTGGCGGGTGTGGGGTTTTTGGTGGCAGGGTGGGAGTTGTGGTGGTGGCAGGGTGTGGGGTTGTGGTGGCAGGGTTGGGGTTGTGGTTTGGGGGCAGGGTTGGGGTTGTGGTTGGTGGCAGCGTGTGGAGTTGTGGTGGTGGCAGGGTGTGGGTTGTGGTGGGGGCCAGGGTGTGGGGTTTGTGTGGCAGGGTGTGGAGTTGTGGTGGCAGGGTGTGGGGTTGTGGTGGCAGGGTGTTGTTGTGGTGGCAGGGTGTGGGGGTTTTTGGTGGTACAGGGGGTGGGGTTGTGGGGTGGCAGGGTGTGAGGTTGTGGGGGCAGGGTGTGGGGTTTGGTTTTGGGAGCAGGGGGTGGGGTTTTGGTGGGGAGGGTGTGAGGTTGTGGTGACAGGGTGTGGGGTTGTGGTGGCAGGGGGTGGGGTTGTGGTGGGAGGGGTGAGGTTTTGGTGGTGGCAGGGTTGGGGTTGTGGTGGTGGAGGGGGGGGTTGTGGGGCAGGGTTGGGGGGTTTGGGGGCAGGGTGTGGGGTTGTGGTGGGGGCAAAAGGTGTGGGGTTGTGGTGGTGGCAGGGTGTGGGTTTTGGTGGTGGGAAAAGGGGTGGGGGGTTTTGGTGTGGCAAAGGTGTGGGGTTGTGGTGGTGGGGAAGGGTGGGGTTGTGGTGGGGGCGGGTGTGGGGTTGTGGGGTGGTAGGGGGTTGGGTTTTGTATGATGGCAGGGTATGGGGTTGAGTAGTGGGAGGTTGGGATGGGGGGTTTGGGTGGTGGTGGGTGAGTTTGTGGAGTGGTGAGGCACATACACCCATGTTTTCCCAGGTGAATGGAGGTTCTGGGGGGGAAGAAAGGGGGCTTCCCTAGGGTATAATATTGGGTTGCACACCCCCCCGGTCTCTGTCAAGGGGATCCGGGGACGGGGGGGCGGGGGCGTAGTCATAGTCATACGCGTCCATCCACCCAGCAGGTGCCAGGTGCCGCTCCCCCTTTTGCCTCCTTCTACTGCTGCCTCCCGCTGCCCCCTAAAACACAATGGGCATCTTACAATCTTATCTGGGCCATTGTTCGCATACTAGATGGTAGACTGGAAGTAGAGCACAGGGTGGGGGAGGCATGTGTTTGGTTGTTTTGAAGTTGTAGTGGTGGGGGGTGGGTGATGAGGCGTGGGGGGGGTGGGGGTGTCGGGGGGTTGAGGGGGGTCGGTTAGCCTCGCAGGTAACAGTGGTAAGGGCCTCTAACATGCCTAACTCCCCTTCAGCGCTCCCCTTTAACACCACCACCACCTCCCTTGTGCACCACCCCCACATTCCCCGTATTAGTGCACCCCCCAAGTGTGTTTCCAAAACACCCCCACCACCTTCCCCCTTTCCAGGTGTATGGGCATGGTACTAGTTCCGGATAGTGCCAGTGTTGGGAGTGTACCTTGTAAGTAGGACAAGTGTTGGGGGTGTGCCAGTTTTTGGGGGTGTTTCAGGGGTGGGTAGTGCCTAGTGGGATGTAATGCCAGTGTGGAGCGTACTTTTTTATGGAGTAGTGCCGGTGTGTGGAGTAGTGCCAGTGTGTGAAGTAGTGGACACAAGAGTCCAGTGTGTGTGTGGTGTGTGTGTGTGTGTGTGTGTGTGTGTGTGTGTGGGGCAGGAATCAGGTTCCCTCCAACGTTTGTGACAGCCATAACACCTGGCCTTCGCGCTGATGGTAGAGGGTGTGTTGGTGCGTGTAGGAACGTTGAAGGTGTAGCCGATAGTGCAGCTGGTGGAGCAGCCGGTGGAGCAGCCGGTGGTGTAGCTGGTGGTGCGACCGGTGTTTCAGCTGGTGGTGCGGCCGGCGGTGCACCCACGCTCGATGTTAAGTGTCGTGGTCTTCATGTTAGTGATGTGACTTGTATACCACGTCTCACGTCTTGACTGGAGACCAGACCTAGTACTAGTGTACTCTTGTGGTCACCAGGTAGTGCTACCTGCTGGTGAGGTGCTCCTACCTGATAGGAAGGTTCTCCTACCTGCTGGTAGGTAGTGCTACCTATTACCTGGTAAAAGAGTATTGGAAACTTACCTCCAGAACCTGGTGTAGGTGTATCAGTGATACACACTACCTAGGAGTACTTACCTTTAATATGGTAGTTCCGTAGCCGACTACAGGTGTTGCAGCGCCTTATGTTATTGTGTATTTATCAGTAACGTTAACTAGTTGCTGCAGTGGTATGTACAAAACTGGCAAGCTGTGAGACAGGCAAGCTTTGAGAGAGACACAGTGGTGCGTACAAAGCTTAGTAAGCTGTGAGACAGAGGCAAGCTTTCAGAGAGACAGTGGTTACTTTTGTCACTGAAGCAGCAAGAGAGATCTTGGAGGTGCTGCTGCTGCTACTGTTGCTGCTGTGGCACCTGGTGACGCTGACGGTGAGTACAAGTTCTTGTTGTGTCGTATGTCTGATGGAGGCTACGTTAGCGTCTATGATATCTTCAGCGTAGGTGTCTTGTGCTGCTGCTGCTGGGCTCTATTCAAGCAGTTGGAGCTATCCTTTTATTTAGATCTATCTTCATTATCACTCATTCTTCAGGTTCTATGTAACCCCTTACGGATTTAACGTTTCCATGTGAATATAATCCCATTAACCCCCTTCATTATATCAAAGCTTATTATCTGTTAATTTCCCAGACGTTTGGAACTATGTGAATATAATACCCACCTTCATAAATGGTATTCATTACCGACAAGTCAGTAAACAAAACACATGCGGTAAAATTAGGTAGCTTTATTAGGTATCAAAGTTGATTACTTGGCTTTCAGCTGTATGAGGCTGAAGGTGCTGTCATGTGCTTAACTTATCTCTCAGCAGCACAACTTGTAAACATGTCCTCCGTACGCGTGCTCGTTTGGCACACACAAGTCAAATGCAAAGTGTGTGGCCAGCCCTATAGTCACTATGAAGATTGAGACACTTATGCAGCATATGGGAATCTTTATTCAGGAAACGTTTCGCCACACAGTGGCTTCATCAGTCCAATACAAAGAGGAAGGCGTAAGGAGAGGAGGAGAATGAGGTAATCAGTCCCTCAACCTGGAGTCGATGTGTTCAGTCCATCAATCTTGTAGAAAGTACCAAAAGGGTACTTTCAGCCCCATCAATCTTGTAGAAAGTACCAAAGGTACTTTCTACAAGATTGATGGACTGAACACATCGACTCCAGGTTGAGGGACTGATTACCTCATTCTCCTCCTCTCCTTACGCCTTCCTCTTTGTATTGGACTGATGAAGCCACTGTGTGGCGAAACGTTTCCTGAATAAAGATTCCCATATGCTGCATAAGTGTCTCAATCTTCAACTTGTCGGTTTTTCAAACCATTCGTCACACCTATAGTCACTATTTTGAACACTATGTGCTTAATTGACCACTTATTGAGGAATATAGAGATAGTATAATAACCTATGTGACATGTCTAGATATTAATGAAAATACGATACCAGATATATTAAGCAAATTTCCTAAATTTGTTTGTAACAGATAAGTGAGCTGTCAACATAAATCCAGATGTACTCCTGTTAGCCTTTTTGGGGACTACTTCCTAGGCCTCTGGTGTATCCATATGCTCTTGCACTACCCACCGTAGGATGGATATGGGGTGCACAGTAAACTAGCCACTTCGGTAGCAAAATCTCAAAAAAAAAAGAAAAAAAATTATCAATGGTAATGAAAAGGAGGACTGGGAGACTAGGGGTTTACCTGACCTATATGAGGTTTTAAATGAGAACACGTTTTAAAAACCACGTTCCCATTTATTTAGAGTCTGTATTTATTAGTGTTGTTGAGATTGAGGTTTGAAGAATGGAGGTAATCAACTCCAGGCTGGGGGAGTGATTACCTCATTTTCTTCATCTTTCCCCGCTTTTCTCTGTATTGGACTGAAGAAGCCACTGGCTGGCGAAATGTATCCTCAGTGAAAATTCCCAAATGTTGCACAAGTATCTCATTCTTCAACTTGTCGGTTTTCTCAATGCTGGAGCCACAGTAAGGGATTTAACCTGACTTTCAAACGAGATTGTAGAGTATAATGACCCAGTGAGTCATAGCCGCGAGCATGTGTGAGTGTACTGCCATGTTATTCTGCACTGCTATGTAGCTCCTTAATAGTCCAAGTCGGACCCAAACGTCGTCGTAAGCTCCTATGTGCGGGTTATTTGTGTAGTGTTCCACTCACGGTATTGTGACGTTTTGTTCTTAAGGTCCTTAAGGTTCTAGCGCTCATTAAAACATGCCCCTCTTCCTTTTATTCCTTCAGACCTTTTATTCTTTCCTGCAGTCCCTTCCTTTATTCTTTCCTGCAGTCCCTTCCTTTATTCTTTCCTGCAGTCCCTTCCTTTATTCTTTCCTGCAGTCCCTTCCTTTATTCTTTCCTGCAGTTCCTTTATTCTTTTCTGCAGTTCATTTATTCTTTCCTGCAGTTCCTTTATTCTTCCCTTGTTTCTTTATTCTTTCCTGCAGTTCCTTTATTCTTCCCTTGTTTCTTTATTCTTTCGTGCAGTTCCTTTATTCTTTCCTGCAGTTCCTTTATTCTTTTCTGCAGTTCATTTATTCTTTCCTGCAGTTCCTTTATTCTTCCCTTGTTTCTTTATTCTTTCCTGCAGTTCCTTTATTCTTCCCTTGTTTCTTTATTCTTTCCTGCAGTTCCTTTATTCTTTCCTGCAGTTCCTTTATTCCTTCCTGCAGTTCCTTTATTCTTTCCTGCAGTTCCTTTATTCTTTCCTGCAGTTTCTTTATTCTTTCCTGCATTCCTTTATTCTTTCTGCAGTTCCTTTATTCCTTCCTGCAGTCCTTTATTCTTTCCTGCAGTTCCTTTATTCTTTCCTGCAGTTCCTTTATTCTTTCCTGCAGTTCCTTTATTCTTTCCTGCAGTTCCTTTATTCCTTCCTGCATTCCTTTATTCTTTCCTGCAGTTCCTTTATTCTTCCTGCAGTTCCTTTATTCTTTTCTGCAGTTCCTTTATTCTTTCTGCAGTTCCTTTATTCTTCCCTTGTTTCTTTATTCTTTCGTGCAGTTCCTTATTCTTCCTGCAATTCCTTTATTCTTTCCTGCAGTTCCTTATTCTTTCCTGCAGTTCCTTTATTCCTTCCTGCAGTTCCTTTATTCTTTCCTGCATTCCTTTATTCTTTCCTGCAGTTCCTTTATTCTTTCCTGCAGTTCCTTTATTCTTTCCTGCAGTTCCTTTATTCTTTTCTGCAGTTCCTTTATTCTTTCCTGCAGTTCCTTTATTTCTTTCTGCAGTTCCTTTATTCTTTCCTGCAGTTCCTTTATTCTTTCCTGCAATTCCTTTATTCTTTTCTGCAGTTCCTTTATTCTTTCCTGCAGTTCCTTTATTCTTTCCTGCAGTTCCTTTATTCTTTTCTGCAGTTCCTTTATTCTTTCCTGCAGTTCCTTTATTCTTTCTTGCAGTTCCTTTATTCTTTCCTGCAGTTCCTTTATTCCTTCCTGCAGTTCCTTTATTCTTTTCTGCAGTTCCTTTATTCTTTCCTGCAGTTCCTTTATTCTTTCCTGCAATTCCTTTATTCTTTTCTGCAGTTCCTTTATTCTTTCCTGCAGTTCCTTTATTCTTCCTGCAGTTCCTTTATTCTTTCCTGCAATTCCTTTATTCTTTTCTGCAGTTCCTTTATTCTTCCTGCAGTTCCTTTATTCTTTCCTGCAGTTCCTTTATTCTTTTCTGCAGTTCCTTTATTCTTTCTGCAGTTCCTTTATTCTTTCTGCAGTTCCTTTATTCTTTCCTGCAGTTCCTTTATTCTTTCCTGCAGTTCCTTTATTCTTTCCTGCAGTTCCTTTATTCTTTCCTACAGTTCCTTTATTCTTTTCTGCAGTTCCTTTATTCTTTCCTGCAGTTCCTTTATTCTTTCCTGCAGTTCCTTTATTCTTTTCTGCAGTTCCTTTATTCTTTCCTGCAGTTCCTTTATTCTTTCCTGCAGTTCCTTTATTCTTTTCTGCAGTTCCTTTATTCTTTCCTGCAATTCCTTTATTCTTTTCTGCAGTTCCTTTATTCTTTCCTGCAGTTCCTTTATTCTTCCCTTGTTTCTTTATTCTTTTCTGCAGTTCCTTTATTCTTCCCTTGTTTCTTTATTCTTTCCTGCAGTTCCTTTATTCTTTCCTGCAGTTCCTTTATTCTTTCCTGCAGTTCCTTTATTCTTTTCTGCAGTTCCTTTATTCTTTCCTGCAGTTCCTTTATTCTTTCCTGCAGTCCCTTTATTCTTTTCTGCAGTTCCTTTATTCTTTCCTGCAGTTCCTTTATTCTTCCCTTGTTTCTTTATCTTTCCTGCAGTTCCTTTATTCTTCCCTTGTTTCTTTATCTTTCCTGCAGTTCCTTTATTCTTTCCTGCAGTTCCTTTATTCTTTTCTGCAGTTCCTTTATTCTTTCCTGCAATTTCCTTTATTCTTTCCTGCAGTCCTTTATTCTTTCCTGCAGTTCCTTTATTCTTTTCTGCAGTTCCTTTATTCTTTCCTGCAGTTCCTTTATTCTTCCCTTGTTTCTTATTCTTTCCTGCAGTTCCTTTATCTTCCCTGTTTCTTTATTCTTTCCTGCAGTTCCTTTATTCTTCCCTTGTTTCTTTATTCTTTCCTGCAGTTCCTTTATTCTTCCCTTGTTTCTTTATTCTTTCGTGCAGTTCCTTTATTCTTTCCTGCAGTTCCTTTATTCTTTCCTGCAGTTCCTTTATTCTTTCCTGCAGTTCCTTTATTCTTTCCTGCAGTTCCTTTATTCTTCCCTTGTTTCTTTATTCTTTCCTGCAGTTCCTTTATTCTTTCCTGCAGTTCCTTTATTCTTTCCTGCAGTTCCTTTATTCTTTCCTGCAGTTCCTTTATTCTTCCCTTGTTTCTTTATTCTTTCCTGCAGTTCCTTTATTCTTTCCTGCAGTTCCTTTATTCTTTCCTGCAGTTCCTTTATTCTTTCCTGCAGTTCCTTTATTCTTTCCTGCAGTTCCTTTATTCTTTCCTGCAGTTCTTTATTCTTTCCTCAGTTCCTTTATTCTTTCCTGCAGTTCCTTTATTCTTTCCTGCAGTTCCTTTATTCTTTCCTGCAGTTCCTTTATTCTTTCCTGCAGTTCCTTTATTCTTTCCTGCAGTTCCTTTATTCTTTCCTGCAGTTCCTTTATTCTTCCCTTGTTTCTTTATTCTTTCCTGCAGTTCCTTTATTCTTTCCTGCAGTTCCTTTATTCTTCCCTTGTTTCTTTATTCTTTCCTGCAGTTCCTTTATTCTTTCCTGCAGTTCCTTTATTCTTCCCTTGTTTCTTTATTCTTTCCTGCAGTTCCTTTATTCTTTCCTGCAGTTCCTTTATTCTTCCCTTGTTTCTTTATTCTTTCCTGCAGTTCCTTTATTCTTTCCAGCAGTTCCTTTATTCTTTTCTCCAGTTCCTTTATTC